CAATAAAAACCGGTTCTTCGGTTAACCGGTTAACCGGTTTATAAACACTAATAAATTCTAACAAAAGTAATTTAGTATCATGTCTTAATATTTTATGGCAAATTGTAAAATTTTAATATTTTGCTTTATAAAATTGTTTAAAAATATTTGTAGCTGAGGGATATATGGTTTATTTGCTGGTTACATGCTGAGTTTACATTTGTTGTTTTGAGAGTTAATTTAATTACTCATAAGTAAAGATTCTAAAACTACAAAATAATGAAAAAGGAATTGAAGAATAATAGCAACTGATGGAAAAACTTAATTCCTAATACTTTTCTGGAGTTTTGGTTCAGTTATATGTTTGTGTTTAGCTAATATTAAGACTAAATGAAGAAAACTCATAAAAAACTAAAAACTTTTATATACTTTCTTTATAATGAAATGAAATTTTTAAAAGTTTTAATGTAACTTTAATAGTTTTAGAGTTATGAAATATTTTGCTTCAAATTCCCTGAATTAATAATAATCATACGTCTAGTAGTAACAAATTTTTATAACTACGTTGTATTCAAGAAAAATAAAGAAAAAGTTATTTTAATATCGGATAGAAAAAGCAACAAACACATCAGGTGTGTATTTCTTAAAGTGAATTTCAAAATTTTTAAATTCCACTTTAATATTTCTTTTAACATTTTCGATATTAATGAAAAATATATAGAAAATGAACTTTTAAAATTATCTCACAATATTTTAATATTAAATTTCTCTTGAAAGCTTTAAATTCAACTTTTAGTCAACCATCATCTACATGCTGGTGGGCTGTTACAGGAAAAAATCATGAAATAATGCAAATCATATGCAAAAACAATGAAATTTCTATAAAATGATGTAAATAGCGTTTGTTTTTAAATTTGAAAATAAATTTCAACCACTTTTATAGGAAAATCTGTCAAGAACAGTGAACGTGAATATTGCAATATTTTGGTTTTGTTTCAAAAATTGAATTTATGTAAAATGTCTAAAAATACACATAATATAAGGAAAAACCAAAACAAGGAGCACAAACTGTTGACTAAAAATACTATGTATTATTAAAATTTTTTCCAAACAAAGGATTTTAGAATATTGATAATACGTTTTAACAAGTTCTCATATAGAAATTTAAATAACAGCATCTTGGCATATAAATCCATAATAGACTCTTAACTCATACACAGAAATAGTCCCCTTCCTAAGATAAACTTTAATAAAGTTACTAAAAAGTCTACTAAAAACGTGTTGTGACAGGATTTGTATACAATACATACATATGTATGTGTATAGGTATGCAATATATAGATAATAAGAATATTTAATTTACAAAATTTTTACATAATTTTTACTTATTACAATCATTTATACAAATCACGTAATATTGAACTTTTATTATAATGCAGGTGTTACGTTGAGATTTTGAAAACAACAGAAAATTCTGTCTGAAAAACGTTCCTTGTTGTTGAATTAATAATCTTTACTTCCGAATTATTTTCATTTTTTATCATGGACGTCATTTAATGAATTAGTTGAAATAAAATTTCAGGACACGTAATTATTCTATTAAGTTGTACCTACATATATATTGCTGTCTGGCCTTGATGATACAGAGAATAGCAAGTTGAAGAAGAAATAATATAAAAATTAAGTAGTTTATAAAAAATTTTATTAAATTTGAGTAAAATCAATGTCTAGTTATATTCTAGTTCACTGTGAAATTTATTCTTTAGTTTATAGTTTTATCGTAGTGTTGTTTTCAGTATATCTAATAATAAAATATAATCGTAATCAGTCTAGTTCATATTATAGGTAGTAATCAAATTCAATGTCCAGTTCATTGTCGTCACAGTCCACTTTATAATCTAGTTTATAGTACATTTCATAGCCCAATTCATGGCCACGGCCATAGACTTATTCGCAATCACGTTTGTTGGCTAGTTCTTAATCTTCTTCATAGTCTAGTTCAATGTTTACTTAACATCAATATATTTATCTAGTTTATGGTCTACGTATAACAATAATAGACGTACATTTTTTGAATAGAAATAAAGCACTTTCAGCTGAAGAGAGGGATTTTTTCATTTAGTGACTAAATCGTTATGACTTCTGAAGCATCAAATTAAAATATTTGCTATTATTCATTTGAGGCGTATGAATGTTATTAATTGAAAAATATCACTCATACGTATACCATCAATAGATATACATTATTTGAATAGAAATAAAGCACTTTCAGCTGGAAAGAGGGTAATAGTATTGAAATGTTACAATTCATTTAAAAACACCTCTTTTAACATTAGTACTATGTGCAGGAATACACTTTGCAGCATAAACATGTCACAGAATATAATTTTGAAATGTATTTGGTTTAACATTTCAAATTAATAGCCAATAAATATTAAAATGTTTTCAATTAATATTAGTGAGAAAAGTATCAAAGTATCAATCTACTTTACCAAAAACTTGTTTGTCAACACATTCGGCTTTTACTGACTATAACCTTTTCCTTGAAAACGTATTAAACAAAACGAAGGTAATTGATTTTTACTATAAACACAATATCAAGCAAAGATAGTCAACGTTAACAAGTATACAAACACTTGAGGTGAACAAACATAATTATGTAATACTTCGATTTCTGATATCTTTAGTATTATAGTACAACAGTTTGTCCTTATTATCTCACTCTAGTAAGTGTCAACCATTTGCCTTGATCATACTTTTTCAGTCACATAATAGTTCCTATCTTAAATGAAAATTTTTTTGTCCATGGTGATTTAAAATGTGTAAAATTACATATGTTAGCTGGCAGTCATAGTCTAGTCACAGTTTAGTCACAGTCTAGTCATAGTCTAGTTGTAGTCTAGTTACAGTCTTAGTTAGTTAGTTAGTTAGTAAGTTAGTTAGTTAGTTAGTTAGTAGTTAGTTAGTTAGTTAGTTAGTTAGTTAGTTAGTTAGTTAGTTAGTTAGTTAGTTAGTTAGTTAGTTAGTTAGTTAGTTAGTTAGTTGTTAGTTTAGTTAGTTAGTTAGTTAGTTAGTTAGTTTTTCGTTAGTTAGTGTTCGTTATTTTTTCGTTAGTTCGTTAGTTAGTTAGTTCTTTCGTTCGTTTCGTTAGTTCGTTCGTTCGTTCGTTCGTTCGTTTCGTTCGTTCGTTCGTTCGTTCGTTCGTCGTTCGTTCGTCCGTTAGTTCGTTCGTTCGTTCGTTCGTTCGTTCGTTCGTTAGTTCGTTGTTCGTTCGTTCGTTCGTTCGTTCGTTGTTCGTTCGTTCGTTCGTTCTTTCGTTCGTTCGTTAGTTCGTTCGTTCGTTCGTTCTTCGTTTCGTTCGTTCGTTCTTCGTTCGTTCGTTCGTTCGTTCGTTCTTCGTTCGTTCGTTCGTTAGTTCGTTCGTTCGTTCGTTCGTTCGTTCGTTCGTTCGTTTCGTTTCGTTCTTTCGTTCGTTCGTTCTTTCGTTCGTTCGTTGTTCGTTCGTTCGTTCGTTCGTTCGTTCGTTTCGTTCGTTCGTTCGTTCGTTTCGTTCGTTCGTTCGTTCGTTCGTTCGTTCGTTCGTTCGTTCGTTCGTTCGTTCGTTTCGTTCGTTCGTTTTTCGTTCGTTCGTTCGTTCGTTCGTCGTTCGTTCGTTTCGTTCGTTCGTTCGTTCGTTCGTTCGTTCGTTCGTTCGTTCGTTCGTTCGTTGTTCGTTCGTTCGTTCGTTCGTTCGTTCGTTCGTTCGTTCGTTCTTTCGTTCGTTCGTTCGTTCGTTCGTTCGTTTCTTCGTTCGTTCGTTCGTTCGTTCGTTAGTTCGTTCGTTTCGTTCGTTCGTTCGTTCGTTCGTTCGTTCGTTCGTTCGTTCTTTTCGTTCGTTCGTTCGTTCGTTCGTTCGTTCGTTTCGTTCGTTCGTTCGTTCGTTCGTTCGTTCGTTCGTTCGTTCGTTCTCGTTCGTTTTCGTTCGTTCGTTCGTTCGTTCGTTCGTTCGTTCGTTCGTTCGTTCGTTCTTTCGTTTCGTTCGTTCGTTCGTTCGTTCGTTCGTTCGTTCGTTCGTTCGTTCGTTCGTTCGTTCGTTCGTTCGTTCGTTCGTTCGTTGTTCGTTCGTTCGTTCGTTCGTTCGTTCGTTCGTTCGTTCGTTCGTTCGTTCGTTCGTTCGTTCGTTGTTAGTTCGTTTCGTTCGTTCGTTCGTTCTTCGTTCGTTCGTTCGTTCGTTCGTTCGTTCGTTCGTTCGTTCGTTCGTTCGTTCGTTCGTTCGTTCGTTCGTTCGTTCGTTTCGTTCGTTCGTTCGTTCGTTCGTTCTTCGTTCGTTCGTTCGTTCGTTCGTTCGTTCGTTCGTTCGTTCGTTCGTTTCGTTCGTTCGTTCGTTCGTTTGTTCGTTCGTTTCGTTCGTTCTTCGTTCGTTCGTTCGTTCGTTCGTTTTCGTTCGTTCGTTCGTTCGTTCGTTCGTTCGTTCGTTCGTTCGTTCGTTCTTTGTTAGTTCGTTCCTTTGTTTCTCTTGTTCCTCCCCGTTTCTTTTTGTTGTCTTTCTCGGTATTTCTTTGGTGTATGAAAATTAACTGGACACTATGTCGCATGATGCACGTGGATTTTACTCGTATGAAGTTATATTACGTAACTTAGTGGGATTTATTTTTAACAATAGAAAATGTTACATACAAATTGCTTCTCCAAAGCCGAATTTAGGAATAATGTGAAAATATTCTGAATATTCAGATTTAATATTAAATATATTGTTAAACCCAATGAAATGCTGAACTATATTAACTTTATAAAACTGTAAGAAAGTATGTCTACCGAGCAGTTTAGAACCTGATGAAGATATGCGATATTGAAGGCATTAGCACCAGACTAGCAGTTGTATATCAATGATATAAATACATTTTTAGAGTAAGAGACCTACCAAGCAAAATTATGCAACTCATTTAAAAAAATTAACTTGACATTTAATTATAGTTTATTTATTATTTTATCATTTGTTTTTAGTTTTTAATACTTTTTCACAATTTTTTCATTGTGCTCAAACATGGCAGATATTAGCATTAATAAAATTGATATAGAGATTTTCAACTTCAGCTTAGGACTGATATAGGAACACATCTTAGTGGCTTTGCATATGTACTTCACGAGGGTTTGCATATGTACTTCACGAGGGTTTGCTTTTGATGGTCTTGAGTTTCCATTCCCTCAAATGTAGACATCTGTTTTTTGCCTTAAATAAGAATAGAAATAAACAAATAATATAAATATAACATTAGTGTCCATTTTACATTATGATATAACAATTTTGTTAAAGAATCCTCTTTTCCTTTGTCCACCTTTGTTGTGGCCTTTACTCATCCATAGTACATAAAATTGCTATTTCTTTGTTCATACATATAAATGTTTTAAACAGATGTGGCCATATGGTCAAAACACAAATGTATAACTCCTTAAATATGACCTCTGGAGAGCTCAAAGTTTGCTAGGTCAAACAATATTTAGTTGCCTCAAATTATGCCAAACTGTTTTATACATATGTATGTATGTTTGTATGTATATGTGTTTAAATATTTGTTTGTATACATGATATGAACTCCCAAAAATATGCAATAGATAAAATATTTTTTAAAAGCCTAACAATAGGCTGCAAAAATGTTTAAATAAATATTGCTTAACTAAAACTTTTTTTCAACAAATTTCAAAATATTCTCATGCCAATTTCATTTGTTGCTAAACCTGTGTTTCCATTAAGAATACGTGTATTCATAATAACCTCGGATTTATTCTTTATGAGGGTACTTCTTCTACTGCAATCGTTGGAGCTACTTCACAGGAATTTAGTGTCCCAAACAGCTGTTCCATTATTCTTGTTGCTAATTGATATTCCCTCATCATAAATGTTTATTTCGACCAGATCATTAGAGGTATTCGTTTATGGCTTTCTATCAATCCAAAACGCCATTTGATTTCATAATTGCCTTATGGATGTAGAAAATATATAATGGACTTCTGGCCGATAGCTTTTCAATGTGTAGCCATTCGAGTAATAACAGATTACCATATGACCAGATTGTTATAATGTTTCGCTTGATTAGTTAGGATCGCTTATCTAGAACTTCCCAATAAGTCGTGTTTCCGGTATGTGATAGGGTACATCTGGTATTTGTGTCCTGTAATAGAATCGAAAAAAAAGCAAATAGAATTTAATTTTTCCTAAAGAAGTAAATTTTAATGGATTAATACCTGTTGGTAATGTGGCGAGCACTTGTGGTAACTGTATGCTTTTTGGGCTAGTCTAGTCATAGTCTAGTCATAGTCTAGTCATAGTCTAGTCATAGTCTAGTCATAGTCTAGTCATAGTCTAGTCATAGTCTAGTCTAGTCATAGTCTAGTCATAGTCTAGTCATAGTCTAGTCATAGTCTAGTCATAGTCTAGTCATAGTCTAGTCATAGTCTAGCATAGTCTAGTCATAGTCTAGTCATAGTCTAGTCATAGTCTAGTCATCTAGTCATAGTCTAGTCATAGTCTAGTCATAGTCTAGTCATAGTCTAGTCATAGTCTAGTCATAGTCTAGTCATAGTCTAGTCATAGTCTAGTCATAGTCTAGTCATAGTCTAGTCATAGTCTAGTCATAGTCTAGTCATAGTCTAGTCATAGTCTAGTCATAGTCTAGTCATAGTCTAGTCATAGTCTAGTCATAGTCTAGTCATAGTCTAGTCATAGTCTAGTCATAGTCTAGTCATAGTCTAGTCATAGTCTAGTCATAGTCGTCATAGTCTAGTCATAGTCTAGTCATAGTCTAGTCAAGTCTAGTCATAGTCTAGTCATAGTCTAGTCATAGTCTAGTCATAGTCTAGTCATAGTCTAGTCATAGTCTAGTCATAGTCTAGTCATAGTCTAGTCATAGTCTAGTCATAGTCTAGTCATAGTCTAGTCATAGTCTAGTCATAGTCTAGTCATAGTCTAGTCATAGTCTAGTCATAGTCTAGTCATAGTCTAGTCATAGTCTAGTCATAGTCTAGTCATAGTCTAGTCATAGTCTAGTCATAGTCTAGTCATAGTCTAGTCATAGTCTAGTCATAGTCTAGTCATAGTCTAGTCATAGTCTAGTCATAGTCTAGTCATAGTCTAGTCTGGACAATGTCTATTCATAGTTAAACTGTATTTTTCAAACATTTGTCTTTTACTTACCGAAACGTTAAGGTCAATTGTGCATAAACCCTATATCTTTGTATGGCCTTGGGATCAACAAACACAATACCTTGTAGGATGGAGGAACTATTGCCGGACAAGGTAATTTCACGTGTTGGCAAATACAAAGTTAAAACACAATTCGGTGATATTTTCTTATAAACACGTTGAGTGCCATAATCATCTTTATGGGTCGGACATCTAAAAGTGATAAAAAGGTTGGAATTAAAAAGAAATCTTAACAATGCGATGTAAAGACAAAGAAAGTTAAGGTAAAGAAAGTTAAGGTATTTGTAGTCTGGTTGGATCTTATAAAGTAAATTGTGTTAAAAAGGATATTTTATCATTATTCATTCTAATTCATACTTTTGACATGTTTTTCACTTTTTCATTTTAAACACCCACCCTAACATGAAGCCATCCATCATGTACCAAAATGCATTTTATGATTTCATCACCATAATCTGCTTTTGTATATTTAGTGTCCTGATTGATGCATTCAGTGGCCCTAAAGTGTTGCAAAAATAAAACAAAACCAACAAAGATATCTGCTTGCCTCACTTCATGTTAGACATTTTTGCTGGAAAATAGCAGAAAATTTATGTGGAAAATTTTTGTTAATTAAATTTTTCTGAGTAAAAGATAAAATTGTTAAAGAGACTAAACTATGGATGAAGATAGCAGGATGTCATAGATAATTTTCCAATTGTTAAAGGGAAAGTAATGAAAACATTACTGTTGCTTACTAAAAGGACACATAACCCGTTATAATCACATATTGAGGTAAAACTTCCCTGTTAGTTAGATTATTGATAATTGAAAAAACATTTAATAGAAGAAAATTTTCCATTTATATTAGGAGGGATAATAGAAGGGATTATAAAAATATAATAAATATATTGATTTTTTAAAGTAATTCCTGCTATTTTAAAATAGAAAATATGTTTCTATTAAAAGTGTTTTAAACAATATGCTAACGAGTATGTATTTTTTGTGTGTTTTATTTATAAATCAATCAATAGTTCGAAGTATTTATATAAATATTTAGTATTTTTTCAAAACTTTTTCTCTTGGATGTCGTATACAGAATAACTACAGAAATACATATTTCTGCCAAAAAAACAAAACAAGAGCAGAAAACGTAAATTCAAAATTCTACAACTAGGAATAAAAAGTTCAAGGATTGTGAGGTCAACGAGTACATTTCTAAGAGTATACGATTCACTTTTGTATTTTTTTTATTTTATGGATCACTATTTCATTGAGAAACATTGTTTTCAAAAACTGAAAATAAAATTTCATTCGAATTTTGTACGTTCAATTGTGTTGAAGATTTTTTTTTAATTTGATAAAATTACATCATACCTGGGGATAAAACTGCTGCATACAATAATATTCTTTATCTTTACATTGGATTGGATTAGGTAAGAGTTTTGCAGTTAGGATTGGTGATATTTTCGTATGATGTTAAAGGACATACAATTTTTAGATTTACTGCCCGAAAGTCCAGATTATAAGGGATAAGAAACTGGATAGGAAGATTATATTGGCTACAATTTCTGCTGGTTCCCTGATTCCAAGGGAACAGGGTATCGTTATTTTGGTAAAGGCGGGCGAAGGGTTTCTGGAGCTCATTGTGTTAGCACCAATCAATAGAGCTCAATCGCTGCAGAATAAAATTCCAGAATCAGTTTCGAAAGATCAATTCCTGGTTTCAAAATTCATACATTCCGGTCCAATACGAAGAACAGTTCATTCTTATAAATTTTGGGTCATAATTTAGTAAAATAATCCAAAATTAGTGTTATAGAATCATAGATTACAAATCAATCATACTATAATTGTGCCAATTTGAAAATCATTGTATGTAAAAGTAAAACTAATATTTGACGTACATTCCATCATTCTCGGATATACCTTTGCACCTTGAACTAGACTTTTAACTTCAATAATGTGAAAACCTTGATTTGACTATTTACTTATTTTTTTTTTGTTTATCAATTATTTCATTTAACTTAATTAATTGTTCTGTCATAATTTGTTTTTTTTTTTTAACTATTTTTTTTTTAATTTCTTGTATCATTTAATTTCATTTATAAAAGTCAAAATTTTTTTATCAACAATTTTCAAAAGTAACATGAAAACTCTATAAGGAACGTTTTGATAACTTAAAATTCACTAGTTTTACATTTATAAACAATTATTTTTGACATGTGTATATGGAATTTGAATTTGAATTAGTAACTTTAATATAACAGTCTTCAAAGAAACCTTTTCTTCGGACAACAGGCCTGCTGTCATCGATGGATCGGAAAATTTGGTGAGTTAATTTCTAAAAGTTTTTATATACACATGTACACTTAAAGAAAATGATAATGAAAATATTGGTAAAATACATATAAACAATCATACACATTATTCATAATTACACGGTTTCCTTAATAGTTTTTATTTACTTTTTGAATATTTTAATAATTTTAATTTGTTTATATTATATCCATATTAATATAAAAAAAATGTTTTCTATTAACGTCAATTTTGAGCAATAAATATTGTTATATTTTGAACATGGAGAATTAGATCGTTACTTTTAATTCCACGAAAAGTCTAGAGTAAACGGTTAGGTTTGATTAGGGCTACCTGTGATTTTTGCTAAAAAGGTAGTATGGTGGGAGGGATAGATAGTAGAGAAGTCAATACCATCTTATTCTTCTCTATCGGAAACTTTGCCATTCATATAATAATTTTCATTTATTTCTTTTGTTTGTATATTTATTATTTCATGTTTGTCGACAGTTATTAGCTACCTAATATTTTAAAATCTTATGTAGCGAACCGGAACCTTGCATTCTGAAGAGAAGAACCAGCCCAATATCCCTGAGCACGGCCGGACTCCTAGGTAGCTATGTCTCCAGAATGGCAAGGCCTTTAGTGGTGGTTCGTCACATAAATTTAAATGGCGCCCAACGTGGGGCATCAGCTTAATAATTTAGCATACGCTAAAATAGATTTGTACATATTTATTACATCTGCTGATGTTCCAAAATCAATTTTAATACCGTGTTGTCGAATTTTATTGTATTATTTCTTTCAGTTTTTTTTTTTGGAAATTATTTTGGATTTTGATATGAACTTATTATTCGTATTGAACCAAGTATTTCTTTTGTTATTTAGTAGTGTTAGTGGATTGGTTGAGATTTTTATTTCTGTTATTTTAATGGATTTATACTCTTTAATCTCTGCACTGAACAATTTCGGCAAATTTTTTTTTATTTTTCAAAATTAACTTTTGTTTCAATTACGGTTGAGATTTTTAGTATTTGGAATATAGTCTGAATATATACTCTCGTATAGGAATAAACGTTTCTATTTTGGTTTTGTTTTGAAATTTTGAATTTTAGATTTTTACTAATGTCAGCTTGATATATGTATACTTAATTCTTGTTTCATTACATGTTTGTTTTCTTTTAATTTTATTTAATTATTGTTTTCATTTGGAGGTAACAGTTTCCTTATTCTTGTTTTCTATATTACCTAACTAAACCTGGACTGAGTAGTGGAATATTTGTTTATTAAATTTAAATTTAAAATACATAATTTTGAGGAAAAATGCCAATAACTAGAAGTATGGACAATTTACATAATTTAGACGAGGCCGCAAATGTTAGTTTTACTGTGGACATGAGCACTTCAGGTGAAAATCAGGGACAACGTTCTCAGAGTCGTCCTAAACGCACACATACACAACCGACTAATGCTTCGGCTAATGAATTGAATGACACCAGAGTCAGACAAATCGTGTCTGAGTCATTAATGACCTTTCGCGAAGAAATGGCTTCTTTTATGACTAATGAACTAACAAGTATGTTTAGAAACATGCATATACCGGCTACGACAAACACTCAGACGATTCAAAACGAGGAGGTTAGACATACTCCTTCTAATTCTGATCATCGACATCCTCAGGATCCTTTTCATGCTGAAAAGGTTCTAAATATCATCCGCAACTGGCGACTTAAATTCACAGGACACGATAATCAAATGTCAATTGATGAATTCATATATCGCGTAAATATTTTGACGACAAACAATCTAGGTGGTGACTTTGAGTTACTCTGTAAGCACGCTCACACCTTATTTGACGGTAAAGCTTTAGAGTGGTACTGGAGGTATCACCGACAGAATGATTATATTGATTGGACAACATTAACGACAGCATTACGTGTCCAATATAAAGCTGATTACAACGATTTTGACATTCTGGACGACATTCGTCGTCGTAGACAAAAACCAAACGAGAGCTTTGATGATTACTTCGACACTATTTCAACATTGACAGACAAACTACGGAATCCAATTACGGATCGCGATCTTTGCGAGACTTTATTACGGAATTTAAAGACAGAAGTTAGACACGAATTATTGCACTTGGACATCACCAGTGTTTCTCAACTCAGAAAGGAAGTGAGAAAACATGAGAAATTTGTTAAAGATTTTCAGGCTTTGGAAGTTCGTAAAACAACTAAAGGACGTTTATCGGAAGTGACAACAGAACTGAATAACATTTTAGACAAAAGTGACGAAAATGAAACGGACATTTGTGGGATTCAACATGGGTTGATATGTTGGAACTGCGAAAAACCCGGACACACTTACATGGACTGTATGGAACTGCGACGAATATTTTGTTATGGCTGTGGGGCAAAGGATGTCTACAAACCCACATGTACTAAGTGTAGTAAAAATAATCAGGGAAACGGACAGAGGGATGTCCGACGGTTTTAGGGCGGGCATCCGTGCAGAATGGACATAAAATTTTGAATTGTACAACAAAAGAACATATAGACAGTGACACAGATGACAAGACAAACAACACACATCCTTTAATGAGACCGTACCACATCAGAGCGGCAGAATACAAAAAGGCTCGGGCTCGTATTTTTTGCGAAAGTGGTAAAATTAGTAGGTCCTCTAGGAGAATTAGGGATTATTATCGTAAATTAAAACAATATAAGGTTTGTGTTATAAATCCAATTATTACTCCTGAATTGGATAGTCGACCTTATATTAATCTGAATGTTGATGGAGTGTTTTGTTTGGCCTTATTGGATAGTGGAGCCAACAAGAGCGTAGTTGGTGGTGAGTTGGC